CCATTTTATGCCTTTTTACCATTTACCAATTTACCATTTATCATTTTGGGTTGTGACATATAACTAATATTTTGAAGTTTTTATAATTTTTGAACGAAAAATTGAATGTTTGAAATATTTTTCATGTTTTAAAATTATAAATTAAAATTATGTTTTTACTTTCTGATTTTTTTTATATTTTTTTATTGTTTAAACTAAATATCAGTTTGAGTTTTAATGTTTAACAATTATAAAAGTTTTAAATAATAAAAATATTAAGGATCATAATATTTTCTGTTCATAATATTTTTGAATCATATTATTTTTGGATCATACTATGTTGAATTAAATTATTTTGAATCATAGTATTTTGGATCATAACATTTTTGAATCATATGATTTTGGATCAATAATATATTCAATTAAATAAAGTATTTGTTCTTAAAACAAGTTTTGGATCATTATATATTTTGAATCATTTAAATTTTTATCATGAAAGATATAATTAATGATCATAAAGTATTTGAATCAAAATATTTTTAGATAATAACAAATTAATGATCATAAACATGTTGAATCGTAACTTTTTTTTTAATAATCTCATTTTGGATCATATTATATTCAATATTTTATTTAAAAAAAACTTATAATCTTTTAAAATAAAGTTTGGTATATAAACAACCTTATTTTATTAAAATTTATTTTCAAAAATTTCATAATATAAGATATATGATAAACCTTTAAAAATATTTTTAATTTCGAGAAGGAAAATTTTCACGTCTTACTTTTTGTAAAAATTTAACATAATTTAAACAAAACGTTTGTATCCTTAACAATATATTTTTAAACATTTTTCTTTTACAAACTCATTAAAATAGTATTACGAAGAACTCTATCATTTTTTTTTAATTTGAATAAAAAATTCGTTATATTTTATAAAAACTATATTTCATAAAATTAATAAATAAACACCTCAAAAACTTATTTAGAAAAAAAAAATATTTTTTTAGAGTGTCACTAGTATAATGAGTAGAAATATCCCTTAAATTTTTATGATTTTTGGAGAATTTATTTTTTTGGGTTTTTTTATACAAATTAAAAAGTTAAAAATATATATTGTTTTTTTTTAATTTTCATGATTATGCTCTTTCTTTTCTTTTTTTTTTTTTTTTTTTTTTTTTTTTTTTGCCTATTTAACCCTCTACAAAATTAACCTTTCCCAGAAAATACGAAAATCTCACACACAATTACAAAAGCGCCATATCATCTCGCAAGATTTTGACGATAAATAAAATTAAATTTTAACATTTTATTTTTCTCAACCCTACGGCGAAAATTTATCCTCGCAATCCTCACTAATTTTTAGTCCTAACCCGATCATTTCTCTCTCTCTCTCTCTCTCACAATCCTCACTAATTTATACAAATGAGTTATGCGTAAAGCAAAACATGAAGCAGAAAAATAAAGACATCGGACGTATACCATGGGTTCTATGTGTACATGTTGATCCATGTTTACAATCTAATGGTTCCACACATATTTCATATGGATGTAATCCTTGAAAATTCATTAAAACCAATCACAAAGACACAAAGAAACAAATCACATTATAGGTCCACCATAAAAGACAATAGCTAGTCAATTTTTTTATAAAACTATCTATTGAAATATCCATTACACTTTTCTTTTTCTTCTCTCTCTTAGAAAGAAAAAACACCTTCATCCATCATCTTCCACCCCACCTCTGTTACCACCATCATTTCGTCACCATCGCCGCTACGTAGCCATTACCTTCCTTCACCACCATCACGACCCTCAAGCTTCCCATTTAAGCTTAGTGGTTATTGATTCGTTTTATATGTTTCAAAAAATCTATTGTTGGCAGAAAAACATAAACCCTAAGTTCACATGCACCCTAAAGGATATATGTTCTCACTATGATTTGCAAACAACTATTGAATATCAAGAACCCTAGAACTACATTGCTATTTTTGAAAATCACTAAAGGGTTATTAAAAAGTACATACCTTAGTTTATTATTGCAAATAAACTAGTAATCCTTCTTTTATTGGTCTTCAGAAAGCAAGCACCAGAAGTCTCGTGCCTCTAATGGCTCACACCCAAACCCTAACAAGTTGGAGGCTAAAGAGGAGAGATGAGAGGGAATGAGAATTTTTGGTTCTCACTCTTGTAGAAGGTTTGGACGAAATTATGAACCCTTAGGAGGGTTTATATAAGTGACTAAGGGAACTAGGATAAGGCAAGTTTCCTTAGATAATCCTTATCCCATTTCCTTGCTCCCTAAGGACTCCTAGGCTTCCTTATTGCCTAAGAAAACCCCTAAAGACCATCTAGAATTCGTCCCCCTCCTAGGGAGGTTCTAGAATTGGTCAATGTTCAACTTTTGAACATTTTCACCTTTAGTCTTTCTACTTTTAATTAATCCAATTAATCCTAAAATTAACTCCAATTAGTTTATGATTAATTCTTAATTAAATAATACTATTTCTAATTAATATATTATTCTCATAATATATTAATAAATCATTTATTTTGATTTCTAATTGTAGTGAAGATGATTATGATGGCATGTGCGAAATATGAAAGATCTAGTGAATCATCATACAAATCATGAATACATGGAGTAAATAAATCTGGTTCAAGCTCATATTAGTTTTTGATAGAAAGAGTATAATTGGGTTTGCTATTTCTCTCTCTAAAACTAACACTCCAAAAATGATTATTACATAAATGAGTTTCACTCACTTCCTATTTATAGGAAAGATAACTCATTACACAATACAAGAGGGTAAGCACAAATATATTCAAGCGTGACTTTGCACCCTAACATTCTCCCCCTCAAAGTTAGGATTGGATGTTCCGACTTGAATATCCAACGAGCTCGTGCGATCAAGACCAAACTCCCCCTTGAAATGATATTGGTCTTTAAATCCACAAATGAATACCCGAAGCTTCGATTACCCACTTATCATTCTCCCCTTTTTTTATAATAAAACAAAAATGATTATAAAACCCATTAAGGGTGAGGAGCTCCTGAGGATTAATCTTCACATAACTCCCCCCTTGATGTGTGCCAAAAATGAAACCTTGAAAAACTTGCATGGAAAAACAATCACGAAAAAGCCTCGGACAATTTCCAAATTTGTGAAAATTTTTCGACTTTTGTGTGAGAGTTGCAAGAATTTCCAAAAACCGGGTAAAAACTATCACTTTCTGAATTCTACAGGACCCGTTGCGCCAAAAACAGCTTAAAATGCGAAACACTCCCCCAATTGCGAAACTGGGTATAAAGCGTTAAGTCACATTAACTACAGGGGCTAAACTGTAAATTTCTTCAATTTCTCTAGTCCAATTTTGACGTGGGTAATTTCTGCCAACATTTCAAAATTGCAGGGGCTAAATGAGAAACTTCAGCTTTCTTCACAAAATATTTTCATCATTTCGAAATTGGACCAATTGTGCCATTTCGTGAAAAGATTAGGGACCCAATTCGAAAGTTTCATGTTCTTCTTCACTTTGTTATACATGTAACGAATTCTACATGCTTCGCTTTTAGTTTCAAGAATTCGTCAACGAAATGAGTATGTTCCTCAACAACGAAGCGCCTTCTTAATCAGTTAGAGGAAATTCGAAAACGAAGCCATTTGAACGTTGAATAATGTTGGATCATTCAGCTTCGTTCTTCGCTTTTCAAATGATAAACTAAAAAACAAAGTCCTCATATCCTTTATCCTGACCATCGCTTTGTTTTTCAGTCAACAAGCCATCGACATCACAATTTTGAGACTCCAAAAACGAATCCCCAAAATCGAATAATCGATCCTTAACTTTTAGCTTTCAATCTTTCCTAGACTTCGTTTTTCAGTAACACAATCTCCATATGTCGATTTCAATCCAATTAATAATAGCCTTCGTTCTCAATCGACTTCCCAAACTTGATTCAAGCTATCACCAAAGTCGAATCGACATCGACTCATCTAATCAGCTAAACTGCCTTCGTTTTCACTATAGGGACTCCAAAATCGAATTTTTCAACCATTCGATAACAACAATTTCCATTCGATATCCATGGCTTCGTTCTTTACTTTTTCAATCAAACCAAAACTTCAATCGACATTGCATAATGACTCCAACCCCAAAACGAAATTATCCATTGAAATCGAACAGTAATAATTCGATATTAATAAACCCATTTTGATTCTTCAACACCAAAAACCCATCGAACGAACATCAGATTTCGAGTATGAATCACATGCTTTCAATTTTGACTTCAATTAAAGCATACGTTTGGCTTCCAAGTAACTCAAACCAAATATGATTCTAGTTAAAGATTGAAATCGTTTCCAAATTCATCAAGATCCCAATTTTAACTTTTAGGTTTGACTTTCCTTTTGAATCAGCTTCAAGAATAGATTTGATTAGCCATTGAACCAACATTAAGCAAGTAAAATCGATATCATTACTCAAATCGATTTCGATTATAAACAAATCAGATTTGAATTTACAACATTCAATCGACTCTAAATCAATTTCGAATCATACTAGTCAAACTCTATTTTGATTCTAACCAACTCCAAATTGAATCCAAAATACAACATTCAACTGTGACTTCGATTCCAATAACCCAACAGTCAAAATCGAAATTGATCCCAAGAACATTCGATGTAAATTGCAACATTCGATCATCATCAGTTCGTAAGAAACACAGGGAAAATTCGATTTCGATTTGAACTCAACATCAATCACTTTTGAAATCGAGTTCGGCTCCAATATCGTTTTCCTGTTCGATTTCTCAAAACACCGACTATTCATTATGATAGACACCACTTAGAGATGGCTATTCTCCATAGAAGTTTAGATAAAAGAGAGAGACAATACTAAAACAATTTTTCTGATAATTCATTCATAATTCTCAAATGGAGCGATACATCAATTTATATAACAAGGGAATGCACGTAATACCTAAAAATTGGGAACATGATTTTATGGAAGTAATGGTATTAACTATATCCTAGTAAATAGGAAGTTGCATGAAAAACTAGAAAGCAGTAACATGAGATCGTGGGTTGCAAGCTTGGGATATCAATGAAAAGCTTTAATGACAATCTGTAAGGTGTTGCAAGAGTATCGCAAAAGGAAGTCCATTTAATGTATAGCTTTTTTGATGGGTCCGACCATGGAGGTGGCCTTCGATATGGCCCGAGGCACATATCAATTCCTCCGTCCTTCAAATGGACCTTATCCACAAGGTCCTGCATACGGGTGCATACAACAACGAGAGCGGGAAACTGTGGGTTGAACGGTTGAAAAGTGACGGGTCGGAATTGCATGAATGTTACTTTCGATGGCGGCGGTTGCGGTAACGGTGGCAGTGGGTGTTGTGTGGACATGGACGATTTCAATGGTTTTGGAGGCGGCGGTGGCAGTAACGATTGTTGTGGCGGCGGCAGTGGCGGTGTGGATGTCGGCGGCGGCGACCTTGGTTGCTGATTCGATGGTGGAAACGGAGGTGGATGCGGGATGAGTTTGGCCATGGTCTCGGTTTGAATGCCGATGAGGATGTTGACAGTGGCCATTTGTGTGATAATTGCATCAAGACGGCGAACATTAGCGGCAGAAATAGCGATGAGTGTGGAGAGTTGCTCGCGGATACTTGACAGTGTGACATCGGTGGACGGATTTTGATGGGGAGGCATGATGAACGGGAATGAAAGCACCATTGATAGACACCACTTAGAGATGGCTATTCTCCATAGAAGTTTAGATAAAAGAGAGAGACAATACTAAAACAATTTTTCTGATAATTCATTCATAATTCTCAAATGGAGCGATACATCAATTTATATAACAAGGGAATGCACGTAATACCTAAAAATTGGGAACATGATTTTATGGAAGTAATGGTATTAACTATATCCTAGTAAATAGGAAGTTGTATGAAAAACTAGAAAGCAGTAACATGAGATCGTGGGTTGCAAGCTTGGGATATCCATGAAAAGCTTTAATGACAATTTGCAAGGTGTTGCAAGAGTATCGCAAAAGGAAGTCCATTTAATGTATAGCTTTTTTGATGGGTCTGGCCATGGAGGTGGCCTTCGATATGGCCCGAGGCACGTATCACATTATCTCGATCTGATAATTAAGTTGTGAATAAGTCAAATTTTGACTTTTATGCATCTCAGACATCCAAAATTAAACAATGTAATATACGAATGGAGTTAAGTGAACAGTGATTGGTTTGGGCTCAAGAATAGATGAACAGTAACTCAATCAAAGATAAGTTGAGTTTTACTTTGGGCTTTGGGAAAATTGATTTCGAAATATGAATAGTGTTTGATTACGAATTTTGGATCAAAATGAATGATATTAAATTTTGATTAAATTTTGAACTTGTGTTTGGCTAGATCAATTTAACAAAAAAATATTTGGATCAACAAAGGGGTTGAAACGGATTAGATCCAATGAGTCAAGACGATCGAAAATGAAAAACACAAAGCACGAATCGAAATCATGGATGTTTGGAATCCATTTGAGAATTTGAGATACCTTTTTAATGATTCGAGTTCCATTTTCAACAAACAAATCAAATTTAGAAGATCCTGGTTCTTTTGTTTGAACGATAAAATCTCCAATTTGAACATTATACCACCCACGATGCATGTTGTACAACTCGTTCTTCGTGTTCTTCAATGATCTAAGAACATATTCATAACAACCATCAACATTTTTGGGTTTTTACTTCAAATTCAATTTGGAACCCAAATTTGCTTCATGGATTTCGGATTCACAACAACATTCGACGGTTTTTGTGAATAAACCCACTTGTTCTTCCATTTAATCTTCTTCTTCTTTTTCTTTCTCATCTTTTTGCATCTTGAAGATTTGATTTCAAGAATACCTTCATTCTTGACAACTTCAACTTTACAAGTTTGAATCAAATCTTTTGGAGTTTGATACTTGTGAATTTCTTGGATTAACGGCTTTCGATAATGAATCATTCCTTCAAACGAATCACAAGAACACAAAATATCATTGGTTTGAACTCCAATCAAGCAAAGAACTTTTGCATCTTCATGAGAATCAACTTGAATCTTATTGTCATGAACTTCAAGAACATCAAGAACATCACATTGAACTCCATAATCTTGAACTTCAACAAACTTAAGAGCAAGAAGATCATTTGGGTTTTCAATTAGAGAAATGAATTTCTTATCAAACAATTCTCTTTCTTTTCTTTTTGTATGATTATTACTACAAGATAACATGATCTTGGAATTTTCAGCCAAGTATTCAATCTTCGAAAGTGGTTAAAATCAATCTTCCATGATCATCCTTCAAACCTCCATAAGAAACCATAGTACTCCATGAAATCAAGCCTCCTTTCAACAATAATCCATAGATTTGATTTTCGTTGACTTTGTATTTCACACCTTCAATGATTACAACCAAAGAATCATAATCCAAATAAACCATCTTTGATCAGTCGATAAGATCTTGAGTTTTTGTAGAGAGAGAAAGTGATTTTGAATGGGTTTTCTAGAGAGAGAAAGTAAAAATCACTTGAATTCTAGTGAAGAAAATCGAATTATGAGTAGAATCAATGAGGAATTCGATTTCTAGAATTCTAACTCTATATAACACCAAGATCAAAGATCAAATGAAGAATCACCAAATCTAGAATGCCACCATGGATCAATTCTTGACCCAATCAAGAACACCCACTCTGATACCAATTGTAGTGAAGATGATTATGATGGCATGTGCGGAATATGAAAGATCTAGTGAATCATTATACAAATCATGAACACATGGAGTAAATAAATATGGTTCAAGCTCATATTAGTTTTTAATAGAAAGAGTACAAATGGTTTTGCTATTTCTCTCTCTAAAACGAACACTCCAAAAACGATCATTACATAAATAAGTGTCAGTCACTTCCTATTTATAGGAAAGACAACTCATTACACAATATAAGAGGGTAAGCACAAATACATCCAAGCATGACTTTGCACCCTAACACTAATTAATTTATTAACTATATAATAAATTAATAAACCAGTCTCTCTCTCCAAAAAAAATATTTCAGTCAATTACTAGGTTTGAGGGCAACCCAAAACAACTTTGCTAATACTTCAAGATTATAATAATTTAGTTATTAACTTAGAAACCTAATCCAACAGTCTCCCACTTAGATAAGTCTAAAACTAAATTATAGGTATAACTTCTAAATTAAACAGCAAAGGGTGCTTTCCAAAGCAACTGTCGAACTCTAATCCGATAAGATATTTGTCCTTTAGATAAGATTGTGGATCAATTGACCAAAAGTACGTATTTTATTCCTATTCAGGAAAGCATCTTTGCAGATAAATTATCACTTTTATATATCCATGAGGTGGTGGTACGTCATGGGGTCCCAGTCTCAGTGGTTTATGATTGGATTGTTCATTTCACTTTCAGGGTATGGAAGAGATTTGATGAGGAGTTGGGTATGCGACTGCACTGCAGCACAACTTTTCATCCGCAGACTGATGGTCAGAGTGAGTAGACTATCCAGACCTTGGAGGATATGCTTCGGGAATGTGTGTTGGATTTTAACGGTAGTTGAGATACGTATCTTCCTTTGGCCGAGTTTTCTTACAACAACAACTATCACACCAACATTAATTGACCTCCTTATGAGATGCTCTATGGTAGGAAGTGTTGGACCCTGATTTTCTCGGGCAAGGTAAAAAGCTCCCACCTTGATGGTTCATTTGCTAGATCTTTTTTGTTGGTGATTACTTATGTGTTTTTGGTCCTATAGCTTTGGTTCTCGTGAGTATAAGCTACTCCAGAACCCTTGAGTATCTTTTTAGCCATTTATGAGGTTACTAAGTTATCAAAATCGGATCTTGAGGGTTATATTCCACCCATGGATGAATTATTTGTCATTTTGTGAAGTTATGAACCCAGGGTTTGGTTTTGAGCTCTATTAAGACATGAAAAAGCTGAAATTTGTCGAATTTATCAGTTCAGACCTTCCCAAGATTGAGATATGTGAGTTGGATGTTTAGTTTTTAGGCATTAAGAGCTTAAAAGTTGGTTTAGGACCATAGAGGATTACGCAGGGCGTAACTTCTGGGTACGTATAACGTAATGGGTTAAGCCTCGTATCCCTTTCTGTGAATACCCAGTCTACTGGGAATAAGTATGGAATATGCATGACAACCAAAAGTACGTTTGGTCTATTTTGGGCCTTGGGCCATGTTTAGTTGGGTCTAGTATGGGAAGGGTAAAATGGTCTTTTACCCTTAGTAAAAGAGAATATCATTTGGACCTTTAATTGTGGGTTATTACCCTAAATAGTAATTAGGTTGTTTTGGATGTGTTCAGTGTGAGGAGCCTTTGTAGCAGTAGTGCGTGTGTGATTCAGATATCTTCAGTTTGAGGTGAGTCTCTTCATTATGCTCATGGGTTGAAGGCACCAATGTCGACCCACTAGATTATGTTGTAGGATGATAATTGTTTGTGTGATACTTGCATCTCTTATATGTTGGGCGGGGCCCGTTATGCGAGTTAGGGCGAGGTCCGTTATACTCTTTGGGTGGGGACCATTATGCAAGTTAGGACGAGGCCCGTTATGTGAGTTAGGGTGAGTCCCGTTATACTCATTGGGCGGGGCCCATTATGCGAGTTAGGGTGAGGCTCGCTATATTCATTGGGTGGGTCCCGTTATGCGAGTTAGGGCGAGGCCCTTTATACTTATTAGGGCGAGGCCCATTATACTTATTGGGCGGGGCCCATTGTTGTATGGCATGTGGTATTTTGGGGAACTCACTAAGCTTTGTGCTTACGGTTTATGTTTACACGTTTTCAGGTACTTCTGGTTCAAAATGGAAGGGCCCTCCACTAGTGTTCAGTATGTTATGATTTTTGGGATTGTAATCTGATAACTATTCTTCCACATTGACATACTTTGATGGTTTAAAATGAATGAATGATGGTTTTGGTTGACTTAAAAATACAAAATTTTTACTTAGTATTTTTAGGAAGTTACATCAACTCCCCGTTCCGAAATGATGTTCCCCAGATAACTAATTTGAGTTTTTGCAAAATCACACTTGGAAATTTTTGCAAAGAACTCATTTTCAAGGAGTAATTGCAACACAACGGATATTTGTTGTAGGTGAAGGTCCCATGTAGGGCTGTAAATTAGTATATCATGAAAAAAACAAGAACATATTTACGACGTTGTTGCTGAAAGAATGTGTTCATGGTCGCTTGAAAGTTGCTTTGGTGTTCGATCGGCCAAAGGGCAATTCGAGAAATTCGTAGTGACCCTCATGAGTCCGAAAAGCCGTTTTAGGAATATCTGTGGGGGTGAATGTGTATCTAAAAATAGCCGCTTCGTAGGTCCATCTTAGAAAAATACTAGTACCGTGAAGCTCATCCAATAATTCATCCACAGTAGGAATGGGGAAACGATCCTTAAATGTGATAGAGTTGAGAGCTCGATAACCAACACAAAATCTCCAAGAGCATCCTCTTTTTTTTCTAACAAAATCGGAGAAGAAAATGGATTGGTGGAGGGTCGAATCAATTCTTCACGCAACATATCTTGCACTTGCCTTTCTAATTCTGATTTTTGAAAGTATGGATACTGAAATGGTTTTACATTAACAGGTTGTGCATGAGGTTGAATGTTGATATGGTGGTC